GTACTATGGTAGATAAGGGTAGATCTAGAAATTAAAGTTTAGAAAATCATGATCTAATTTGACTTTAAAGTGATTAAATGCTCTCCCTCACATGCAACTTGAACGTTAATTTTGACTCGCAAGGTCTATATAAAAAATATGGCTTTCGAACTCATAATCTCAACCTCCAGTAACAAACCAAATCAATTCTATGACTAAAAACCTAATTAGTCATAATCTCAAGCTCTAGAACCAAATTGAATTATTATAGGAACCCAAAACTTAAGCTACTAATATTCTTTAATACCTTTTTTTATTGTCTTTATATAGCATAAGTTACTCTCAAAGAAGAAAAAAACTGTCATTCACATGCAGCCAATCAAGAATTTCTAACTTACAGAGTTCATCAGATGGTGCAAAAGGAAATCTTCTTATTGATTTGGCTCTATTGGTTTGTAGTGTATCAGTGTCCTAATGGTGTGCCTAATAATATATTTTCTCTGCTGCCAAGTTCAGATCTTACCACAAAACACCCATTTCATCTAATGTATGTGTGTGTGTGTATATATATATATATATAAATAAAAGACATACAGTAAACCAGAGGTGGAAGAAGATGAAAAGGGTGTTTTATGACAACCCAAGTTGTCGTTTGAACTGTGGGGCTCATGAGTGAATAGTTTATATAAGATAGAACTAGTTTCAACCTATATAAAAACAAGCCAATAATCTTCTTTGTTTGTCAATCATACTTGAAGAATCCTCTCTCTCTCTCCCCCTCTATCTGTCTTTCTCTACCTATTTTGATATGAAGATGTGTGGGAAGAATTTAAAATGTCTTGCAACTATTGCTTTCATTTGTATTTTTGTTTGGTCATTTAGTTTGGAAAATTGCCATGGGAGAGAAGGTCGGCGTTGGGGGGCACATAGAAAAACTGGAGGCTACCGCCACCACCATGTTCATGTGGAAAGTGAGGATGTTGTGGGATCCTCACTTGCAAGTGAAGGTGGTTCTGGCAGTTTTAATGTGTTGGACTTTGGAGCTAAAGGCGATGGAGAGGAAGATGACACTAAGGTGAATTTAGGTTTGCCTATCATTTTCATTACATTGAAATTGTTAGGAATTCACGACTCTCCACCGTGGTATGATATTGTCCACTTTGAGCATAAGTTTTCATGGCTTTGCTTTGGGCTTCCCCCAAAGGCCTCATACCAATGAAGATGTATTCCTTTACTTATAAATCCATGATCTTCCACTAAATTAACCAACGTGGACTCACTCCCAATAATCCTCAAGCATATAAACTTTTCAGAATTGAAAATTAACTGAAGTACTTGACAATGTATACATACCAGGCATTTCAGGCAGCTTGGGAATCAGCTTGCAATGCAGAGGGATCAATGGTGGAGGTTCCCTCAGGTTATGAATTCCTCGTTGGCCCGATTTCGTTCTCTGGTCCTAATTGCCAACCAAACATTGTGTTTCAGGTCAATATCAATACACTGAAGTCTAGTTTGGAAGTTGATTTCAAAAAGTGTTTTTAAGTGCACAGAGCATAACGTTTTAAAAGGATTCTATCAACTTTATGGGAAACTGTTCTGTGAAGAACTTTTCCAGAAAAAATCTTGATGACATATTTTAAAGTACATCTCCTACATGACATGCAGTTGGATGGCAAAATCATTGCTCCTACAAGCCCTAGTGCTTGGGGTTCAGGTCTCTTGCAATGGATTGAATTCACTAAACTTAAAGGGATAACAGTGAAAGGTACAGGTACTATTGATGGACAAGGCTCCGTTTGGTGGAGCGACGACTCACCCACAGACGATCCTACTGACGAAAATTTGGTATTTTCATAAATCTACTCGGAATAGAAGGGATTTCATATTTTAAGTCAAACAGCTTCCTAATCACAGATTAACTCATGCAACAGGACAAGGAAAGCAGTAGCGGAAGACTTCCAAGAACCAAACCAACAGTACAGCCTTGGCTTAAACTTGACAATAATAGAACAAATGGATCAAAGAGAGATTTCTATTTGTGACTTTTATATTCTTGTGCAGGCACTTAGGTTCTATGGAAGTGATGGAGTTACAGTCACTGGAATAACCATCCAAAACAGCCAACAGGCTCACCTGAAATTTGATAGTTGCACATCAGTTCAGGTTTCTTCATTAACCATTTCATCGCCTGGTGACAGCCCAAACACGGACGGAATTCACTTGCAGAATTCCCAGAATGTGATCATTTCGAACAGCAATCTAGCTTGTGGTAATTCCCAATTTTGAGTACTAACTGCAAAGATGGCTTAATTTAGCATGAGAATTTGACTTTAAAATACAACCCAACTTTACATAAGCAGATAAATAGAAGGTAATCCAATTGGTTAAAAGTCAGAAAGGTGATCTTCAAGAATCAGTCACTTAAAGGTGGTTTTCAATTTCTTTTTTGCTTAACAGTTCTGAGAACTTTTTTTTTGAAGTAGAATATGGTCCTAAAACATGACGGTGTACTTGATTTCGTTCACCAACTTGAAGGAAGTGTTAGGAACCACAACTCTCCACAATGGTATTGTCCACTTTGAGCATAAGCTCTCATGGCTTTACTTTTGGTTGTCCCAAAAGGCTTCATACGAATAAAGTTGTATTCCTTACTTATAAACCCATGATCAACCTCTTAATTAGCCGATGTGGGACTCCTCTCCCAACAATCCTCAACAGGAAGATCGACTTGTTGTTTTGACTTGCATGAAAACTAGTATGAAATTTAAAAAATCAGTAGCATCATGAAACTTACATGAATAAAAATCAAACTACAGGAGATGATTGTATATCCATACAAACTGGAAGCTCGTCCATATACATACACGATGTGAACTGTGGACCAGGGCATGGAATTAGCATTGGAGGACTAGGACGTGATCAAACAAAAGCATGTGTTTCCAATGTCACCGTCCGTGACGTCAAACTGCAGAACACAATGAATGGGGTCAGAATAAAAACATGGCAGGTATATAAAACCTTTCTCCCTAAACCCCAATCTTTATTTAGACAAACTTTTTTCAGTTGTATTTGTTGAGGATTGTTGGGAGGGAGTCCCACATAGGTTAATTTAGGAAATGCTCGTGGATTTATACGTAAGGAATACATTTTCATTGGTATGAGGCTTTTTGAGGAAGCCCAAAGCAAAACCATGAGAGACTATGCTCAAAGTGGATAATATCATACCATTGTGGAGAGTCATGATTCCTAACATGGTATCAGAGTCATGCCCTTAACTTAGCCATGTCAATAGAGTATTCAAATGTCGAACAAAGAAGTTGTGAGTCTTGAAGGTGTCGAACAAATGGTGTACTTTGTTCGAGGACTACAAAGAATGAGTCGAGTCTCGATTAAGGGGAGACTATTCGAGGGCTCTATAGGCCTCAAGGGAGGCTCTATAGTGTACTTTGTTCGAGAGGAGATTGTTGAGAATGGTTGGTAGGGAGTCCTACATTGGCTAATTTAGGGAATGATCATGGGTTTATATGTAAAGAATACATCTCCATTGGTATGAGGCTCTTTGGAGAAGCCCAAAGAAAAACCATGAAAACCTATGCTCAAGCCCAAAGCAAAATCATACCATTATGGAGAGTCGTGATTCTTAACAGTATTGTTTGCCAAAACCCCCCTTTTTTAATTCAACAGCTCACAGAAGGCCATTTAACTTTCCCATTACAGGGTGGTTCAGGCTCAGTACTGGGAATACTGTTCTCAAACATTCAAGTTTCAGACGTTGGGACTCCAGTAAAGATAGACCAATACTACTGCGATGGGGGTAGATGCCATAATGGATCTTCTGCAGTAGCAATTTCAGGAGTAAACTATGTAAACATTAGGGGAACATACACTTCAAGGCCGGTCCATTTAGCCTGCAGTGACAGTCTTCCCTGCACTGGTGTGACATTAGACACCATTCAGCTTGAGGGGAGCAGCCACTCAAATGAACCATTCTGTTGGAAGGCATACGGTGAACTGAAAACCTCCACTGTCCCTCCCATCGACTGCTTGCAGTCTGGAAATCCATCGAAAGCACAGGCTCACGGTTTCTGCTAAATATTAATTACATTATAGATAGATATATGCAGTCATTAATGGAGAGTTAGGAAAACAAAATTTCATGGTAGACTACTTAGAAATAGAAATGTCATATGCTACAAAATCGGGTGCTATAGATAGATATATGCAGTCATTAATTATGATATTGTTGCTACATCATTCATGCTTAGTAAGATGAATTTATACTTCTACAAACCACCCGAATCATAGCACATTGAACAACACAGTTTTAAGATTTGAGTATCGCAAAGACAAAATTTCATCCTTCCTCGTGAAATTATTAGCACGTAAACCACCTAATTACCAGATAATAATAAATAAATAAATAAATGACACGAACAACTGATTAAAAAACTAATTTATACATGAAATCGAACTTTTCGTCCACAGAATTCTTCAGATTATCATTCATCATCAAGTGAAGCAATTCGCACAATGTTTGCTCTTAGCAATAGATCCGGATATTCCACAATGGCAGCCTCAGATATCAAAATCAATAGCTTAAAAATTACACTACCATATGTAATGGATATGACCTAATTCAATAGTCTACAAAAGAAGAAGACAAAAAACAGTATCACAAGTTGCAGTATGAAATTTAAGGATTGAGTTCAGAAGAAGATACGTCATCTAGCTTGACAGAGAAGAGCTTAGAACTTGCTGAAGGAAAAACTTCGAAGCCGGCGAAAATGGCGGGAAGAGCGATGGGCGGGAATGAGACCGGTAGATTGTCGACCTCGTAAATAAATAAATAAATAAATATATATATATATTTATTTATAAATTTTGAAAAGAAAAATTAAAAATATGGATGAAGCCGGGCAAAACGGTGCCGTTTTGATATGGCACTCTGTTCCCTTCCGTCCCGGTTTGAACATATTTTCGCTCGCAAAATTTAATTAATAAATAAAATAAATCCGAAGCCAGTGGAATAGAAAACTTCGGAATCGGAAAACGCTCTCTCTCTCTCTCTCTCGCTTCCATTTTCACATTCAGATTTCTCGCGAATTTGAGAGGTAATCAATTTTCAGATCCATCTCTTTTCATTTTCAATTTCTCAAATTCGGTTCCGCAGAATCGCTGGAAGATCTTTTGTTGATCTAAAGTTCTAACGGATTCATTTATCCATTATTCTGGTTGATTGCTAATTGTCGTCGTAATATTAGAATGCTTGTTGGTTTCATTGATTTGTGGTTTAATTTTTCATGATATGTGAAGAATTTTCGTACCTTGTTGTTTCGATATGTGTTGTTGGTTGCCGAATCAATTCCATGTCTGTTCTATGGGAAATCACCTTGGATTGGTTTGAATCCTCATTGCGTGGTTTAAGTGTCATTAGGGGGGTCAGCAGGGACATAGTGTTGTAGAAATTTACGTTTATTTGGTGGTTCATTGCGGTTTTGCTTTTGGCTTCTTCTTTTCAGGCTGTTGTTTTGATTCACGATAATTCATTTGATGTTCGTTGTTGGAGATCTATTTGGTTCATTTCAAATGATTGAAAATGTTTGATTCCTGATTCTATTTTTTCTTGCTCGCCAGTGCTGTGGTTGTTGTGATAGAAGGAAGCCGAAATGGGGTTGAGCTTTACGAAGCTGTTCGGTAAGCTTTTCTCTAAGAAAGAGATGCGCATTTTGATGGTTGGTCTTGATGCTGCTGGTAAGACCACGATCTTGTACAAGCTAAAGCTCGGAGAAATTGTGACCACCATCCCGACCATCGGTGAGTCTTATCCTGTAAAATGAATTTTTTGAGGAATTTTGGAAATTGAGAACTCAGCTGTAGAATCAAGCTATGTACAATTTTAATAATTTGATTAAATCCATCTTATGGAAGTCATAGATGTAAGACTCGATACTTTTCTACAGGATTTAATGTGGAGACTGTGGAATACAAGAACATCAGCTTTACTGTTTGGGACGTTGGTGGTCAGGACAAGGTATGCATCTCCTTATTTCTGTATGTGTGTGGTAAAAACAAGACACTTTCTGCTTTTCACCATGTTTAAGACACTAGTCCATTTATTTCGGATTTAGTATCAACCTAGAATTTTACTTCTTTAATTGTTTTATCCTCCTGGTATGCATGAAGAGGTTGATGCATTAGTAAATTTAGAGATCTTCATGGGGCGGGGACAGGAAAGTCTTTCCCGTCTCCATCCCCACCACCTATTTCATTCTCCATTCCTACAAAATTCTCCATTTATTTTTTGTGGGGATTGGGACGGAGATTCTTGTGAAAAGTTGAGGGAATTAGATCCAGCTTGTTTAATAAAATATTTATTTTGAAGTTTTCATTTTTCAATATAATCTTTATTAAAAAAAATGGTTAAAAAATCCTAATAAATCAATATATTTTATAAACAAACGTATATATAATGTTCTACCAACACAATTTTCGAAAATTCTAATTTTAATATTTCAACGTAGTCTTTAAAATTAAAAAAAAAAAATCTACAACATAGTTTTTAATTTAAATATTTTAATTAGAGTCTCAAAATTAACTAATTAATGGGTTGAAAATATATTTATATTAAACGAAATGGGGAGAGGGCAGTTCCTGCAGATAAAGGGCATCCCTAAGTAAATTGCTATTTGGAGTTAGATTTAAAGGAGAAAATGCCAGCTTTCAATACAATGCATTTGATTTGTTATGCTTGATATATGAAACAATGTATTATAAAAACCACAATAAATTCTAAAGCAGTGACGAAGTATAGGCTCTAACTTGGCATATTGCATGCATGTTCTTATTATCTTAATTCAATCATATAATATATTTTTGCATTATAAAGACTAAAATACTGACATTTTCTAGAACGAGGATTGTGCATGGATATGTATGTTCACATATTTTTTTAATTAAAAAATTCCCAAGAAATTTTTTTGTACTATTATTTCTAATTAATGTTTGATTGATGGGGTTTCTTTTTGAAAGATCCGTCCACTTTGGAGGCATTACTTTCAGAATACACAGGGCCTTATTTTTGTTGTGGATAGCAATGATAGGGACCGAGTCGTAGAGGCAAGAGATGAGTTGCACAGGATGTTGAATGAAGTAAGTTTGTACCTGTTTTACCTTACCACTCTGCTCCCGAATGCTCTTATACTTTATTTTCTATATCAACTTAATTGGCAATTTCCCTTACTTCGATGGACTATTTCTGTGTACTGATGTATAGCGTGCTTTTGTTCATAATGTATCCAAAATTTACTTTATTTCTTTAGTCCTTACTAAATTCCTTTATTTGTCATAATTGCTGTTATGGGATTTAGTTTTGTGAGAGACAACTTTTAGAAGCTATATTTGTGACTAAGAAACAGGATTTTTCTAGAGTTTGCTTCAAGACGGTTAGTTCAGTTGCCGAAGCCTTTGTTTGTATTCGTTTGCCAAATCTTGTTCAGTTTCAAGAACGAAATCACGCTATATAGTAAGAAAAGAAAGAAGTTTTTGCTAAATTTGGCGATCTAATTTGTTGTTTGGTTTTGATCTTCTTCCATATGTGTTTGCGTTTTTCCTTATTTCTTTCTTCCAGTTTTCTGTCATTTAAAAGTAGGATTGATATAGATCTCTTGTATTGCTGATCTTTTTGTTCGGCATATATATTAGTATTGCTGAATTGTGACATTTAGTGGGTATCACATAAAATGCTGAATCTGGTTGCAGGATGAGCTTAGAGATGCTGTTTTGCTTGTATTTGCTAACAAGCAAGATCTTCCTAATGCCATGAATGCTGCAGAAATAACTGACAAACTCGGTCTTCACTCCCTTCGCCAGCGCCACTGGTAAATTAAACCACTTGAATGAAAAGAATGTTAAGAACAATTTTTTTTTTTTTTTTTTTTTTTTTGGGAAGTGTTTAAACTAATAGGTATGTCAAACTCAAACAAACCCTGAGTGGAAGCAATTCTTGAATCATGATCTAATTCTACTATTGACATCCACATTGGTTATGACATCCCACATCGGTTGGGAAGGAAAACGGAACACCCTTTACAAGAGCGTGGAAACTTCTCCATATCAGACACATTTTAAAAATCTTGAAGACAAGTCCGAAAGGAAAAGTCTAAAGAGGACAATATCTGCTAGCAATGGGGTTGTGGACCGTTACATGTACTCTTTCGTATGTTTCGTATGTTAATGAATTGGACTGTTTACTAGACTCATGAAGTAGGAAGAGTGAGTTTCAAGCTCGAGCTCTGTCAGGGTACAGAAGAAAGTTGACAGAATATTTTGTTGTTTCTTTTGAAGTTGCTGGGTGAGATGATAAAGTGATATAAAGGAACTCATTTTACACGGTGTTCCCTTCCCTTCCAGGTACATCCAGAGCACCTGCGCCACATCTGGAGAGGGCCTATACGAAGGTTTGGACTGGCTTTCCAACAACATCGTTAGCAAGGTAAATGCACCTTACATTTGATCCCAATCTTAATTGAATATCCATTCATTTAGGCCTCTGAGTTCTGAATTACTGTGCTTTGTTCCAAAATTCCATCCATTCTTTTTTTAACATTATTCTATTTTAGGTTAAATCACATGTTTGGTTCCGAACTTTTACCGGGTCCTTAGAGTCTAATATGTTCTTAAATTTTCACTTATGTTGAATTAGTCCTTGATTCATTCGACCTTTTTAAAATTTATAGATCTATAAGACACAAAATTGGAAATTTTTAGTCTTCTTAGACATGAAAAATAAGTTCGAGACATGTTAAAAGTTCATGAACTTTTTAGATATAAAATTGAAAGTTTAAAACTTCTTTTTTAAAATTTATGGATTTACTAGACACACAATTGAAAGTTTTAGTATCTTATTAGGCACTTTCTAAAATTCAAAGATCTTCGTGAATTGAATTTGTAGTTTTACTTTATAATTCACAAAAGAATTGCATAATGCTAAGTCTTTTGTCTTTAATTTTTCATGGTCAGTTCACAGAAATATTGATTCACTCAACACATAGCTTCAAATACTTGTCATCGTCACCTACATGTTGAATTTGTGTGCATCACTTGTAACTATTAAACCCATTCTATTTCAAAACTTCCATTTTAATTTCAAATTTTGCACATAAACTATTTTAGTCATTTTCCTTCAATTTCACTTTGATCATAAAATAGAATTCTTAAACTTTGTTATTGAGTCGTTCACTCTCCCTTTTTATTCAGGCCTGAGACGACAAATGATTTGGTTGCTCAGGACTATGTTCAGAGTTCTCCCATTCTGGAAAGGATAGTTTCATTTATTTATTTAATTATTTATTTATTTATTCAGTGATTATGGATATAAATAGGGAAAGAAAGTTCTGCTTTATGCATGTACTCGAGATGCTTTAAGCTAGACACTAGGCTTTTCAAAATTCATTCTTTTCATTTAATACCAATTTCATTATTATTATTATCAATTTTAGTATTTTTATTTGATCATATGCTTCTTACACTTGAAAGTATATTTATTAACTCAGTGATTAAAGTACCACTTTTTTGCTAGACATTGAAGGATTGCATTCTTAATTGGAGATAATTGAATCTGTAAACTTAACTTACAAAATTTTAATAATACAAGAACACTTAATTGTGAGATCATATTGGTTAAAGAAAAGGAGAGAAGAATGAAGCATTAGGGGTAGAAACCTTTTTCTAATAGACGTTTTTAAACTATGAAGTTGATATAGAAGGGACAAAAGTGAACAATACTAGTGGTGGGCTTGGATTGTTGCAAATGGTATCAGATCCAAATACTGAGCAGGTTATATTGTGAGATCCTATCGGTTGGAGAGGAGAATGAAACATTTATTATAAGGGTGTAGAAACTTCTCACGACAACTATATGTAACAAGGGCTCCCAAGTCATATTGTGAGATCCTACATAGGTTGGATCGGAGAACCCCTCAAGTCATACTGTGAGATCCTACATAGGTTGGAGTGGAGAATGAAACATTCCTCGTAAGGGTATCAAAACCTCTTGCATTTCAAACTATGAGACTGACGACGATACGTAATAAGCTAAAGCGGACAACATCTGCTAACAATGGACTTGAACTATTTCTAACTAAAGAATATTTCCTCCAAGGGATCGGTTCGAGTTTATTTCATCAATTTTTTTTTTTTTAATTTCGGTTTGCACTCTTAGATAATCCATTACCTTTTGGGGAGTGTTTGCCTTGGGATTTATTAAATTCTAAAGTTTGAAAATATTTAGGTCCATATCTTTATTGGTTTGTGATCTATAAATACATCCTAAATTAGATTTGCAATGCGAAATGTCACAATTTCATAAATATAGACTAAATAAATGCAATCTAGAGCTAAACAACTCCATGAGACTTAATTCTTACAAAAGCTTAACTAACTGAAGCATAAATTTCTTCCTATCATTGGAGTTAGTAGCATTCATATTCATAAAGTATAATCATCAAACCTCTATGATCATGATTTTCCAAAACCAGCAGCCACCTTCTTCCTTGTTCTGAGGTTCTCTATTCTTTCCGGGCTTGGTAATCCAGTTCTATCTTCGTACTTCTTTTCTAGGGCCTGCATCAAAAAAGTAAACTAACAACTTCACCTCAATTCATTTTCAAAGTTATGAAGTAATCAGTTCGAAAGAAAATAAACCTCTCAGTACGAGAGCATACACCATATATCTTTCTAACAAATCGACGTATACCTCAAATTATCTTTTACACAAGAGAATCAGACCCTATCCGCAATCTAGTAGGAGTTCTCGTGCTAATATTCACTTCTTAAGAAGTTTGTTCATACTGATAAATGTTAATTTTCTTTCCAGAAGACCGATTAAGAACATATATTTCGGGCTAGTTTGCGTGCAGTTCAACTAGTCAGGATGTTAAACATTTAGTAGGTGACGATCATGACTTGAATTCATTCCTTCTAGACCCTCTATGGACCATTGAACCGACCCATTGTGGTGCTTTCAGAACGATATTAATCATGAATAAGAATACGTCGCTCCCTATAGTAAAAAGGGTTTTCTTTGGATCAGAAATAAGATGAAACAATGTGTAGGAGGTCACTCACTTGTAGCTGAGGGCGAATGGTATCGAGTACTTCATCTGTCATTCTGTCAAAGAACAAAACTCCCTGCAAATTTAACAGTACTCTTAGAGAAAATGTGAGCTAAGCCAATGCTGGTAGATATTATAACACGGGATCCCGACCAACTTAATCATGCACTGCTAGAATTTCATTGAGTAACGTTGCCGAAAACAGAGACCGTGAGGAAGAATGTGTGTGACACGGTTAGATTACACATGGTAAATGTTAAAGTAACGATAGAATTAAATTTATAACAATTCATCAGCTTAAGCTTCTGAAATGAGTTGAATAGTCATCGGTAAAAGGGAATATCGTATCATGTATAATAACTTAAGCTTAAACTAATTAAAAAAAAAACCTGCAAATGATCAAACTCATGCTGGAACACTCTTGCAGGAAGCCCTGACAAGTTGACCATGAACCTCGTACCACTGATGTCTCGTGCATCGATCTTAACCGACTCTGGTCTCTACAATTACATGAGAATGAGCTAGCCCGTCACAAACACAACTCAAAGAATAAGAAGCTAATTTGTTAACTAGAAATTGTGTCCTTGAAAGCAAGTATGAGAGTTAGTCTAATATGTTCCTAAAGATACCTAAACTTTTAATTTTGTATCTTAGGTCCTTAAACGTTCATTTTTAAATAAGCCCCTCGCCTATTTGAAAAACTTTTAAAATTTTCAAATATATCTACTACAAAATCGAATTTTGTGTATAATAAAATTCTAACCTTTCAATTTTGTGTTTTACTGGTAAGTGAATTCTTAAAAATGTATAAGGTCAAAGATCTATTAGATGCAATTGAAAGTTCAGAATTTAAGCCAAGGTAACAAACTATCAACACGAGACACCCGAACAAATTTATCTTTTAGCTGAAAATATACTAAATACTAAGCCAATTGGAATTGAAATTAGCCAAGAAAACATCATATAAGTTCAGAAAAGGCATGCAACACCATCCTTAATGAACACTAAACTAGAAAGTAGGCATGAGACAAGAACCAGTATTCAACAGCACCTGTACATCAGCATATATCCTGGGGAATGATAGGCAACCTTCATTAAAGAGTATAGTTTTCTTGGAATATCTGTAAACTTTTGGGTTCACAAGAACAATTTCCTCCCCTTCACCGCGTTCACCGACTGGATTGAATACCATCAGTTGAACATTGACTCCCACTTGAGGAGCTGAGAGCCCAATGCCATCAGTTCTGTAGACAATGAAGCCAACAAGTTTTGTTCACTTTCCTGTAAATACCAAGTTTATGATGGCCCTAACTCAGAACTCATCATTAATGCATAGTAAAGAACTTGAACTATCATTGATCACCTGACCATGAACAGATTCAACTTATTTAACTATAAAGATTTAATATGTCCTAGACTACTTAGTTGCTTCGGTCTAGTACCGACTTCAGCCATCCTACCCAAAGTTTTCGTCAACAATATCTGAGGTGGGGATTTGAACTACTAACCTTTTAGTCAAGTTACATTATCTCAACCAATTGAGTTATCATCATTGATGCATGGTAAGAGGAACTTGAACTATCATTGATCACCTGACCATGAACATATACAACTTATTAAACCATAAAGATGCTTCAGTCTAGTACCGACTTTAGCCGTCCTACCCGGAGTTTCCATCAACAATATTGGAGGTGGGGATTTGAACTACTGATCTTTTGGTCAAGTTACAGTATCTCGATCAATTGAGTTATACTAACGTTTTGGTGTTTCTATGTTCAAACCTACTATTTGCTCCCTAATTAGTGTTCAGAGTTTACATGTCTCAGCCTGTGCTAATTTCTGAGCTCACATGTGAATGTTGTTCTTATGGATGGAAATAACCAATCCAGAAACTTACTTGTACATTACATCAAACATTTCCTGCACTAATTTCTTCAGATTATCATCAAATGAATCAATACGCTTATTCTTTGCTCTGAGTATTGGGTCCGGATATTCCACAATTTGGAGCGGCGCCTCAAACTCAAGATCAGCAGCTAAAAAACCACAATCGTATTAGCTAAACTACACAAACCTATGCGAAAAGTTGAAGAAAAGAGATATCACAAACAAGTTGCGAGCGATATTCGAGGTTTCAGCTTACACGAAGCTACGTCGTCTTCTTTTGTCGAGAAGCCTCGCTTGGCCTGCGCGTAAACTAGAGTCGTCGGAGGTCTGAACTTACTCGAATTGGATAATAACCGGCCTGTTGAGGAAAAACGGCTCAGCCGGCGGAGAACGGCGGGAAGAGCCGACCGGCGGGATAAAGTTGGAAGAAGAGCGTGTGGGAGAGAAACGTGCAATCGAGCAGTGTAAGCCATGGCTGCCTGGAATTGACGGAATGGCCGCCGACAATGGACCGGTGAGGAGCAGACCTGAGCCAAGGGACGTCAATTGAATAACGATCTCACAAGCTATTGCGGATGTGAGAAAGCCATGGTGCAATAATGTAATTTTGCTGAAGATTAGCGAAACAATGAGAAATAATCTGGGGTTGAATTGCAAAGTCTAGAAATTAGTGAGACAAAAATGGAAGAACGAGATAATAGAAGGGCAATAATGCAAATTTGAAGAATGGACAATGTGATGTCTCACGTTGGTTGGGGAGGAGAACAAAATACCCTTTTATAAGGATGTGGAAACCTTTGAGAGGAAGCTCGAAAGGGAAAGCTTAAAAATGACAATATCTACTAGTAGTGGATCTGGGCCGAAGGGGCAGACACACGACAATGAAAGCCAAAATAGTACAATATTTGTTAGCAGTGGATCTGGGTCAAAGGGGGTAAACACGAGGCAGGGAAAGCCTAAAGAATACAATATCTGCTAGCGGTGGATCTGAGCTGAAGGAGATGGTGACGAGGCGATGTGCGGACGCTGGCCCCAATAGGGGATGGATTTGGCAGGGTCCCACATTGATTGGAAATAGAAAAGAGTGCTAGCGAAGACATTTGGCCCAATAGAGGGTGAATTGTGATGTCACACATTAGTTAGTGATGAGAAACAAAATACCGAACATTGGTTGGGGAGGACAAAATACCTTTTATAAGGTTGTGGAAACCTTCCCTTAGCAGAGGCCCTGGAGCGGAGGACTTGGGCCATTACAATTAAGGTTAGTTTCGTAGTACGAATTTTAATTATATTTCTTATGTTATTTTCGATTTTTTAAGTGAAATTTGTAGTACTTCTCTAGTGTATTTATTTCGATACTATTGTTTATATTCGAATATTTATTGTTTATATTTGACTACGTTAAAATTATTCAATACAAAATTAGGATTTTTTCTTGCACTTTCTTTCTCAATTTCTTAACGGTTTTGCTTGGAATGCTCGGGATTCAAACTCGAGAGACTAAAAGTGTCTATTTTTAAAAATTTTAGGTAACGATATCAATTTAAGCATAGCTTAGTAGATAAAGACACTAACTACTATTATAAACGATAATAATTTGATCTTCCTCCCTATAATTATCGAGCTAAAAATATTGAATTAAATATTATAAAAATTAAATAGTAGATAAGACACTAAAGTTTTTTTTTTTTTAATATTATAAAAATTAAATCTGTAATTTAACACTGTGTATATATATATATATATATATATATATATATATATATATATATATATATATATATATAACCAAGTTGTAATTTGTAATTTAGCCAAACATATAATTTAACCAATAAATTTTAATAAATAAATAAATAATTCTGAAGCCAATATAAGAAACGGAAAAAGAATCGCGGTACGATCTTGTTGCCCCTTTTCCCTTCAGATCTGTCTCCTGAAGGCCCCGAATTCGAGAGGTAATCTACTTTGGCTCCATTTTTCTTCAATCTTCGACTTTCAAGTTCAATTCTGTATGGCCTCCATGGTAGATATCAATCGATCTTAAATCTTTACGGTTTCGTTTTATTCATTTGCTGGGTACACTTCTATTGCTAATTCTTTTTGATCTTCCTCGTTGTTTGGATATGTATTGCTAATTCTTTTTGTTTGAATTTTATGTCTGCTATAATGGAAATTACCCTGGATTAGTTTGAATTTCTCATTGTTTGATTTGAATGTCATCAGGAGGGTCAAAGTATTGTGGTAAAATGAATGTTTATGATGTTTGTTTGTAGTCGTGTGCTATTTAGGTCGCTGTTTTCTGTTTATGATGATCATTAGGATTTTGTAGTGGAAGATCTTTTAAATCTGTTTCAATGCATGCTGAATTTGTTTTTGAGATGTTTGATTTTCTAATTTTGAATGTTATCGCTTGCCAGTTCTTTGATTGTTGCTCTTAGAGGGAACTAGAAATGGGGTTGACCTTCACGAAGCTCTTCGGCAGACTCTTTTCTAAGAAAGAGATGCGCATTTTGATGGTGGGTCTTGATGCTGCTGGTAAGACCACGATCCTGTACAAGCTAAAGCTCGGAGAAATTGTTACCACCATCCCCACTATTGGTGAGTCTCTATTGATGAAACCCAGAATTGGTTACAACTTTTTTGAATTTCTTCTCTAAGTCCTTGGCATGTTGAGGATTGTTGGGAGGGAGTCCCACATCTGCTAATTTAGAGGATGATAATGGATTTATAAGTAAGGAATACATCTCCATTGATATGGGCCCTTTGGGGAAGCCCAAAGAAAATCCATGAGAGCTTATGCTCAAAGTGGACAATATCATACCATTGTGGAGCGTGATTACTAACATGTTACCAGAGTCGTGCCCTTAACAATCTTCAAGTGTCGAACAAAGAAGTTGTTAGTCTCGAAGGTGTCGTCAAAAGTGACTAATGTGTCGAACAAAAGGTGTACTTTGTTTGAGGGCTCCTGAGAAATGAGTCGAGCCTCGATTAAGGGGAGACTCTATGGTGTACTTTGTTCGATGTGAGGATTGTTGGGAGGGAGTCCCACATTGGCTAATTTAGAGGACGATCATGAGTTTATAAGTAAGGAATAAATCTCCATTGGTATGAGGCCTTTTGGGGAAGCCCAAAGCAAACCATGAGATCTTATGCTCAAAGTAGACAATATCATACCATGATATTGGAGATCCTTATGTTATTGAGAATTTTTATCAGAGAGGGGATTTAAGTGGCAAAGTTAGATAAAAAGCACTGCACAATGTTAAACAACCTCGCTTAGAGAACAGAGCACATTCTTTAATTTCTCTCTTTAACGAGGAGCTGTTAAGGTCTGATTATTTGTTTGAAGTACCCCCATCGCTACGCATCATCCTTTTGTAGCTTGCCAGCAGATAATATTTTGACCTTTTTGATCAGTCCTTGCGAGAGATGTAAGATTATTCTTTCTCTTGCTGCTGATCTCCTCAACGATCTTTGAAGACGAGCCCCGAGTTTGATAGTGTCTCTATCCCAAACATCTGTTTTTCATTCTATTAGTCCTGAAAGTCTTGGTACTTCCAAGATTGAACTGCCAATAAAAAATGTGTCTTGTATCCAATCCATGACCCAAGGCGAGCTGAAGCTGGTAGAAATTTGAAAGGTATCCATTTTTACTCATAAAGCCAACTGAGAAGAACTTCTGTTCAATTCCTCTCTCAACACCTGAAGGAGTAAACGTCATTGGAAAAACCTCAAACTTTCTAACTGCCATAGTTCAGATCCCTGAGTGCCAGGGAGAGAGCGTGAGCATCTTTGTGCATTGTTGCAGTAGTTGATAGGGACATTTCTTCTTGGAATTCTTTCATTGGGGCTTAACATAAATTGGATCTCTGTAATGGAAAAAGGGGGATATTTCAAATGATGTTGTAGTTCAAATAGTTCAAGTGACGTCTTTCTTCAAAGCATTCGAACTATTGCATAAGGATCCTCACAAAACCATTGCGTAAATTTTACCAATATATCTATCGATTTTTTTCTTCAGGATTTAATGTGGAGACTGTAGAGTACAAGAACATCAGCTTTACCGTCTGGGATGTTGGTGGTCAAGACAAGGTGTGCATCTCTCTCTCTCTCTCTCTCTCTCTCTTCCCTTCCCCTGTATGTGTGAGGCAAGCTGTGTTCTTCTTTTTAATAAACTAAAGAGAAATAGTTAATTTATTTTGAAATTAGCATTCCCTGTTTTTATATTCTGTAATGTACATAAAGTGGTCGATTTAATCGTCAACTTGCAGTCTTTTTAAAAAAAATTTACTTTTGGTAATCTAGTGCGTGTGAAGTTTGAAACCTTTAGTTTGAGTTGTGTGTCCATGACCAACTTGCTTCTGATACTCCAACATTTGTTGGACATGTTATAGATACTTGTTAAGCATGATAAATATGTATCATTTACTAGCTGAACAAATTGAATATGAGTTTGTCACTTGATGGGCACATGTACAATAAGCATAATAAAATCATGTCAAATTTGACAAAAAATTATTAGATACATGAACTGAAGTGTTCAAAATCTTATCTATTTACAAGAATTATATGTAAAGATAAATGAATGCTCCACTCTAAGTAATTATGCGTCATTTTAGACCTTTGTTTGTACTTCATATGCTCATTAGAAGAAAAAAAGTTGTTCAGAATTGTTATGATTCTTAAGGTTTGACTATGGTTTTTCTTTTCAAAAAGATCCGTCCACTTTGGAGGCACTATTTCCAGAATACACAGGGCCTTATTTTTGTTGTGGATAGCAACGATAGGGACCGAGTTGTCGAGGCAAGAGATGAGTTGCACAGAATGTTGAATGAGGTATATTAGTACCTGTTTACATCTTTCCACTCTGTACGTTAATACTGTGATGATCTATTGCTGTTTGTATTTCGTTCTTATTATAGCTTTATTCATCAATAGATTGGCTCCACTTTTTAATTGCTAACTTTATCTCTCATGGTGGAGTGGATAGAGTTTTTTAGTAACGGCATAGCAGCATAGTAGCTCATAGAGTTTTTAAGCCCTTTTCTTCCATTTATGAGTCTTGTCTGATAGTGGTATTTTACATTCTAATGATTGCAGGATGAGCTTAGAGATGCTGTTTTGCTTGTATTTGCAAACAAGCAAGATCTTCCTAATGCCATGAATGCTGCAGAAATAACTGACAAGCTTGGTCTTCACTCTCTTCGTCAGCGCCACTGGTAAATTATTTGGTTTCGTCTTGTGTGGGGACATCCCATCGATTAGATCTGGTGAACAGTATTTCTCTTGTTAAAACCTGAAAGTATAATTGAAGATGGTCTAAATTCACGTTTATTGATACATCTTCCTAAGTCAACTTGAGATCCCACATCGGTTGGAGAGTAGGATGAAGCATCCTATATAAAGGTATAGGAACTTCTCGCTAACAGGCGTTTTAAAATCATAAGGTTGACGATGATATGTAATGGGTCAAAACAGACAATATCTGCTAGCAGTGACCTTGGACTCTTATAAATGTTATCAGAGCCAAGCACCGGGCAGTGTGTCAGCGGGGACACTGGGCCCCCAAGGAGAGTGGATTGTGAGATCCCACATCAGTTCGAGAGAGGATCGAAGCATTCCTTATAAGGGTGTGGAAACCTCTCTCTAACAGACGCATTTCAAACTCGTGAGGTTGATAGTGATACATAATGGGTCAAAGCGAACAATATCTGCTAGCAGTGGCTTTGGGCTATTACATTTTATTATCCCGAAGTTGGAAAAGTGAAATGGTCAATATTTGTTAATCAAAGTTGAATATTCATTCTACATTGTGCTTGGTTCCAGGTACATTCAGAGCACATGCGCGACATCTGGAGAGGGGCTCTACGAAGGTCTAGACTGGCTTTCCAATAACATTGCTAGCAAGGTAACTACTTCTTGTATTAGATCTAAAAAACAATTGTTTTTCTGGGTTCTGAGTCTCTTTGCATTAGCTTCTAATTTCTTGACCATTTCTTTTGGGGCGTGCAATGGATATTTGCTTCTTATCTTCCCCTCTCTTAACTTGTTGAAATCCCTTACTCATCAGGCTTGAAGCGGTCAATGATTTGATGGTCGTTCAAACTCCCACGCCCTTCTTTGTTTAGTTTGTTTGTTTATCTCAATGATCGCCCTCGAGAGTCCTCATCGTTCTAAGACCAATAGTTTCGTTTGATTTAAGAGATAGTTTTAGTTGGGAAACATTTGACTGCACTTTAAATTTCACTCCAAGTTGTTAATTGCTGCTTTAAGCGTATACTTCTTGGCTCCTCTCGTTTAATATCAAGTCCAATTTTTTTATCAGATCGATATGATTATGAAATGTAATCGTGAGTCATTACATATAATCAATACTATATATTAAACATATAATCAATCATTCTAAATGGTGTTTAAAAATATTAAATTTTCATATTTATTTAAGACTTAGATCCATTTATATACTTAACCTTACATTAATGTATCAATTATTTGCATTACTTTAATGATACATTCAATTATTTGCTTTACTTTAATGATTGTATCTTTCATTGGAATGATTTTTAGATTGAGAATCATTCCAGATTGAGAGTCTAAATTGATTCATTTATCACATTTAGGAGTTTAATGGATAGAATTACAAGTTTTCATGTTCGTAAACAAATGTTTTTTAACTAGAAAAATATAAGCCTATACATTTTAGTTTGTGATTTTTATGAATTTTTTTTGCCCTTTCATTTCATTTGGATTTTTAAGCATTTCTACCGCTTTTTTTTTTTTTTTTTTTAACTATTTTA